TTGAATTGCTTATTATAAAAATCATGATAAGCCACACTTTTTCAAATAATGTATCTAATACAATCAAAAGAATTTCAAAGTCATGCATCACAATAATATGGGCAACCGTTTATCTTTTGACACAACTACTTATTTAGCTAATACTTCACCTGGTATTGAAATACCGACGACAAAAGAATAAAGCAGAGATAGAAAATATTTTCAACACTCTACCTTTGATTTTGGTTATTAAGGAGAGAGACATTTGTGGATCGGTTGCGTCTTTATTAGGTCTCTTTAGCCAGAAATAAAATGATCACGACTCCAGTCTCTAATGGAGTTTGATGGCAACATATACATCACTGGAACATACTAACAGTGGGTTGAATATGTGTAGATATTCAACAAAAATGGTATCATCGTCTGTACTTAGTAAGCAAAATCAACGGTCGCTGTATTACCTAGTTTAGAGAGTAGGTGGCACAAAAACCAGGTGGGCTTTAAAATAGGAAATAATTCCAAACTCAAATGTGACAAAGATGTAAAATACAATCAAAATAATCTTAAAGTCATGCGTACCAATATTATGGCTAATACCCACATAAAATCAAAGTATGTGCTAATACCTCATCATCATAGAGATAGAGAGAGTAGCAGATAAGTGAGTACCAGGGAGCAGAGGCAGCTCGTGACCAAAATTTTTGGAGTTCACAGTAGCAGAATATAGATCCTGGTACAGATATAGATAAAACACTGTCAGTGTTTTAGAAAGGTATATTATGAACTTTCTAAAACACTGACAGTTTTTTTCAAACATCTGTAATGATACCTCTAGGGCCTCTAAACTTAAGAGATGCAAGCATCCAGCTTAAGGGGGAGGTAAAATATCTCGGGGTTATGATTGACTCGAGACTTACCTGGAACCAGCATCTAGAAAGGAGAGCGGAAACCTCATTAATGATGGCAAGGCGAACCTTTGGAAAAAAATGGGGGTTAAAACTAGACATGGTATATTGGATTTATAACATGATGGTGAGATCCATAATAACATACGCAGCTTTGGTGTGGTGGCCAAAGACACAGCAAAGGAAAGCAATAACGAGGCTTAGCAAGGTACAAAGACTTGCCTGCCTCGGAATAACGGGGGCAATGAAAACAACCCCCACTGCTGCAATGGAAGCACTAATAGGACTCCCACATCTTCACTGTATAATACAAGGGGAGGCAAGATTAGGTGCTTACAGATTAGGGAATACACTGGAAAATCTTGACATTAGGCCAGGTCACATGAGTATCTCAAGGTTAGTGACAGGAGACGTGCTAGACATGAGATCAGACCACTTAACCAAGAGGTACTCTTTTAATACTCCCTTTGAGGTTTTAATACAGGAAAGAGCGGAGATCACCATAAGGGAGCCCAATGCATAACGACAGGAACAAACCTGGTATACAGACGGGTCTAAGACTGCGGAAGGCACTGGGGTAGGAGTATTCTCCAAAAACCATAATACTAACCATAGCTATGCTATAGGAATACATTTCTCGGTATTTCAGGCCGAGGTATACGCAATTTTGCAATGTGCAAAAACGAACAATGAAAGAGCTGTCGCAAATCAGCATATTCAAATAATGTCATACAGCCAAGCGGCACTTAAGGCCATATCGAGTCAGAAAGTTACGTCGAGGCTGGTATGGGAATGCATCGAAGAACTAAGAACACTGGCAGACCGAAATAGAGTAAAACTATTTTGGGTGCCAGGTCATAAAGGGATCGAAGGCAACGAAAATGCTGACGAACTTGCAAAAAGAGGGTCAGAAGAAACACCGGAACCAGACACAAACCCAGGAGTACCAAAAAGTACAGTCCGGGGTTTTATAAATGACTGGATTCGGGAACAACATATCAACTATTTGGGAAGCACCCCAAAACAGGCACATGGAAAAGCCTTCATAGGCAGACCATGTCCCAAAAGAACTGGAGAACTACTCTTAATGAATAGGAACCAGTTGAAAGTGAACAGGGTTCATGACTGGGCACGCCCCAGTAAAGGGACACTTGAACAAAATTGGCATGTACAATGGGGAACTCATGTGCCGACTATGTCACAAGAAACCAGAAACGGCCAAACACATACTGTGCGAATGCGAAGCTCTAGATCGCAAAAGACAGGCTCTTTTTGGACAACCCCAGGTTGATCCAACAACGTATAGAACCCACTCACCCATGGATCTGTACAAACTTGTACAAGGTACAAAGGTGATAAAGTGGGTGCTATGAACTAACATGGGGTAAAACACAATAAGCCAATAAGCTTTAGTGTTATTCGGAGACACATAGTCAAACGAGCCCAGGAGAGAGAAAAACAAAATGATACCTATATTGTGTCACTGTGAACCCCCAAAATTTTGGCGACGAACCGCCACTGCCAGAAAGAAACAAATCAAGGAAGACAAGCAAAGTTAGATAAAGGCGGTAGAGATAAATAGAGATAAGCAAAGATTGGTAGCTATTATAAGCAGCACACACAGAAAGAATACAGATGGAGACAAAGAAATATATAGAGGCGATAGAGACGACATGCGCAGAAGATTAAAGAATTTTAAAATTTATTTTTTGTTTTTAAGTTTGGTTTATTAATAGGATTGTAAATTATTAGAGCCAAACCACCCACCTTTTGGAAGTCTGGGCAAACTTTTAGAAAATAAGATATACAGGAGTTTCTATATCAAGTGTGGCCAGCCAACGTGGAGCATTGTTTCTAAAGAGAGATCAACATTTTGGATGTTTGGAATTTTGGAACTTGCAAGGAAATTGGTAAGATTGTATATAGTTTCCTTTATTTGAATTGTTGACATATTTTTTTTATATAGAGAGTGAATATATTTCATGTGTGTGATGTTTATTTGGTTCTGGAGATAAGAGGAGAATACATTAGCAGGATATATAGTATAGGATTTTCGGGTGAAATATAAGAAGGAAAGTAACATTAAAAGCAAAGTGTGACGTGGAATATAAAGTGTAAAAAATTGTGAAAGTTTAAAAGTGATATATTAGATCGACTTGCAATGGATGAGGAAAGAAGGTTGGTTTTATGGAAGCAAAGGAGAAAGATGATGAGAGCATATGTCAAGTAGGACAAGAAAATATAAAATAACAAAATGTAGTAGAAGTTAGAACTGCATATGAGATAAGGGAAGTGAGAGTTTCAATTATGAAGATTTGTTAGAAATAAGAAAATGCATGAAAACAATAAAAAATAACCAAAAAAATGAATGAAAACTGTAGGAAAATGGATAAATAAGAGAAAGATAGTAAGAAAATTGATAAAAATAGGAAACAAGATAAAGGAGATATAACAAAGAAAATGAATAAGATGATAGTAACATATAGTAAAGAAACAAAGAAAATGAAAGAAGAAAGATACAAAAAACTCTAATTTGTGTGGAGGGATGACTGAAGATCATTTTTTAATTAAATACTCTTCCTTATTTTGGATATCCCCTGTCTTTACTGTTACTGTGTACTTCAAAGTGAAATAGTCTTTTAGGTATACAGTTCAGCTCCACTTCTTCACTTGTTTTTAAAAAAATAGGTAGTTGTATCCAAGTTTGGCGGTTAATTCTACAATATCTTTTAGAATTGGTCGGTCTTTGTTCAATTTGTAATTGGTAAGGAGTTATTCTGGTTGGCTATTTCTTAAAATCACCGCAACTCAACTATTTTACACTTGCATTTGAATATTCTCATACGTATGAGAATATCTAAAGTTAATTAGCACTTCACATATATTTCCTTTAGTATTATTGGATGGCTCCTACTATTGTAGGGATCCCGTATATATCTCATATTTACAAAATCTTTACTTTGGCTGTTTTATAACCAATGCACACGTTTTTATATTTTTGTTTATTATTGTTTTACTATCTTAATTTAGTTTTATACGTACCTTTATAATGCTTTCCAGGCTGCTGTAGTATCTAAGTATCTCCATTTCTATCTGGAAAATATACCTCTCATTCACTCAAGATTGAGTTCAACTAGGTAAGTTTATTTATCTAATAAAATTTTTATTGCACCAATGTAATATTAGCACTTTAAAAGTTGCCTGTATACTTTTACCCCTTGATATTGGATTTTTCCATTTCTACAATAATTTTTATATATTTTCCCATGAATTAATGATAATTCTATAACTAGTATCTTAAAAATATGAAAAGCAATTCTGTAAACTTATGGTAAATTTTAACTTGTCTCAATTAACATGTTATTGATAAAAACCAATTCTATAGGCAAAAGCAGGTTAATAAATGTGTTAAATTAAAGACCTACATGGTAAAAGTTAACGGTACCTTATCAGTAGGTTTAAAAACTTTATATATAAAAAAACTATGAATTTTTATTGTATAATTTAACTTGCAATGCAAGAAAATTATAAAAATTAAGCATTTTTCAAGTATCTATTGCCTCATATGTCCCGAGTTTCACTTAAGTGTATTAAACAAGCTAATGTTGCTGGCTTATCCTTGACTCTACGTTCTACAGACTTATGTCCCATTGAACTTGTGTAGGCAATTGAACATAGAACAAATAAGGCAAGAATTTCGGTTGGTATGAGATGATCTGCATCCTGTGACAAGAAGTTGAATATCGTTACATTAACATGTAAACCATCTAACTCCATACGTAATAATTAATTGGATCATTAGGTCTTTATCTAAAAGAAGAATTTAATGTTATATGTTAGGTTATTTTATTAGTTAAAACTATTATAATACAATTAAACTAAATTAAATTTTTTGATACGCAGTATCTATTATCAAATTGCAATGTTTTTATTTACTAATGGGATCTTCCTAAAACATTTAAAAAGTTCACAGAAGCATTGTTTGTCAATAATCATATTAATTGTCATTTAACAATATAATTTAGATATTTGATAAACTTTCTATGGATGCATTTACTTACCGATTTTTGGAATTAGGAAGCAACTACAGAAAAAAAAACAATCATGGTTCGTGTAAATATATTGCGTAAACAACAAATAACAATAATTTTTCTCTTAACGTCGATAATTGATTTATACACTCTTATGTTACTCAAACGAAACTAAACAGTTATTACATACAGTTACAAATAAAAATAATTCATGAGCAATTCTAACTAAACATTGACATAATTGAAATCAGAGTAATAATCTGCAGCAGCGCCCGTGAATTTTCGCAAAACGTGCCAACGCTGTAAGCGCTCACTGAAACAAAAGAATGTTTTAGAATTGTGGAAATTCAAATAACAATTATTTTTATACCAATAACAAGGTTAATGTATCTCCAATTTTTGAAAATACAAAAAAAATAGCGTCATATTAATTAAAGCAGTAAAAATGCTGTACGGAAATAACCTAACGAATATAAAAATGGGTAACTAGATTCCAATGGGATTTAACACAATAAAAGTCCTTAAGCAGGATTGCTGTCTTTCACCAATCCTATTTAGAGTGCACTTGGGGCAATCCCTAAAAGTCTGTAAAATAAAATGCAGGAACATGGGAAAACCAACGACAGATAATACAGTTTTTACTTTGTTTTTCGGATGATCACATAAGAGTATGAAAAATATGTTTGTAGGGAGACTATGTAGAAAAATAATTTTGCCATCGTTTTATAAAGTATCCGTGGGCATTTAGAATAATAATAATAATAATTTTGCATAGTACGCCTCTGGAATGTGACGTTATAATCCCACTTTTTCCACACTCTTCTTTTATTCAGACTATAGACTATGAAAACAAAAATGTTCCTTTATATTTACAAAGAAAATTGCTAATTTAGGTTAATTCCGTTTGTTATTTTATATAATTATGTAATTAAAAATATTAGTTATTAAAATAAAAGCTTATTTTTTTATTGTAAATTAATACTGAACAGAGTTCCAGTGATTTTAAGAACAAAAATTAGGCATATAAATAAAAGTTTTAGACTTAATTCTTTGTTTATTTGCTTTTTCTTTTAAAATTTGCTGAGTGCTTGATGAGCTTAAAACATAACTGCATATTTTTTCCCTTTTCCATATATATCAACTAGTTAGTTATTTTTAATCAACAATTAAAATTTATTTGATTAAAGAAACACAAGTTGTTGACGATACTTTCTTGTATTTTAAATGTATAGATTTAAAAAAATGTATGCTGGGTAATTTATTCGTTATGACTTATGAAAGAAATCAACAAATTCTATTAAACATCTCTATTATTAATGACGTGAGATCCATTAAACATTGTTTTTCTCGAACCATCTTCGTATTTTTCAAATCCCCTATCTAGTAAAACAACTTGTATGTCTTAAAAGCAATGCTCACATTAAAAAATAACAATATCGTTACATTATTATTTCAGTACCTTAACTAATTAAGAATACTTGTGGGACAACCTTTATAATAAGATTATGCTCACCTCTTTCGGGGACGGGATCACGAACACTGCCTAACTTGAGCACAGCCTCTTCGCGGTATATTTCGCCTATTTCTGCGACACATCGTAGTATCAACCTTCCACCGTTGAAGTGTTCTTCAGCCAACGTCATGGCTAGCGGTAAATCGCTCCACAAAGGATTTTCATGTTTATTGGGGAATGAAGGCTGAATTTTAGCCACCTGCAACAAAACAATGCGTGATGTACGTGACAAATGAAAACTATAATTAAGTATATTGGCCACAAAATTAAAATAGGGAGAATTAATTTAATATAAATTCTCGCATTCTCGTTTAAAGTTTACTTCCATAAGCATAAATCTGAAATCCCTCAAGGAGTCCTCAAGGAGTCCTTTTACATCCATTCTCTTTATTTTACTATTATTTGTAGCCAGAGGAAAAGTATAGTGTAAAAAAATTGAAAAGTGACAACAACGCGTAGTTACAAATGGCTACTTTCTAATATTATGTAATAAAACCATACCGTAAGATTATTTAACAGAAGCATCAAGGAAGCCTGCGGCTTCGAAGGCGGGCAGGAGCAGTTAGCCCTTAATGTGTCTCCGTAGTCCAGGGGTTCTCCTTCTACGCTGATCGTCGGAGGATTTTCTGGCAGCTCTGAAATTAAAGTGATTAATATCAGTTATTCAGTTATTGCGGCTGAAACTGTTGATACTGCGGGGTAACGACAGAACTTGGTTTCAAGATATTAAATAAGCGAGATACTATTATTATTTTATATCAACGGTTCAATAGAATTTATTTTTGATTGGAGCTTTTGATGTATATTTTCATATAAGTAACCTCAGGTTTATAAATTTTAAAAGCTTGATAACATAAGCAATAAGAAAACTTTGTATTATAAAATAAAAAATAGTTCCTTACTGCATAATTTTATTTTACAAATACTAAATTCAGAATAAGATTGTAATATTTTGCTGTTACTCTTATACGTCGTAACCCTTTCGATTAACAAACCCGCAGAGCTTGCAGAAGAAGCTTGTTAACTCAATAATGTAAATGATCGTACATTTGCATTATTTACTTTTCTTATTCTGTTTCGTCAAACCGCCGAAAGTCAAATTATTAACTTCATTATGTTTTTTAATTTAATAAAAGGATTTTACGGCTACAGATGGCCTACAAGACGCTGCGTTGTAAGCTTAAGGTGGAGATTAACTTAATAACGTATAATAAAAGGCGCTTTTGTCAGATTATTAAAGGAAATAAAGGAAGATGTAAAATAATTTGTTTCGGTAAATCAAAGCTGGCGGTTACACATTCTATTTAGACGAATTGATAGTATTTGAATTATTTAAAAATGTGGGTATGACGGTTTTGATTATTTATAATCAGAATTTGCACACGTATAAACACAAAGAAGGGGAGTTACAGTTTAAAAGGAAATGTTTTCAATTGTAAATGGGGCTGAAAGAAACAAGGATGTAAGAGAAGAGCTTAAGAATCAGACCGTTTTTAGCGGATATTAAAGCAGATAGGCATTTATGCTTGTTAGAACGAATGAAAACATTTTTATTATTATGTCTGCTTTTTATTATAATATAATATGTAATGATCCTGTAATAGTAGCTTTTAGACACCATTTCATTCGAGAAAAGTATAGAGATGGAGTCTGGGAAACTAAATTTCGACTTCTTTACTTATTTCTATCATTCCATTGGTACTAGATAGATAAGAGTATTTAAGTAGTGCAAATTTTGATTTTTAGTTTTAAATGCCATAGGTTGTCAAAAAATCGTTCTGTAGATAAGTGAGTTATCTCCGAAAAAATTTAATATATTGTGATGGGTTGCTACGATCTACATAAGCAAAACAAAGAGGTTATTACAAAATAACCGCTTCGGAATACTTATCCCACTTTTAAAAATATTTTTTTTTTCAAACAATAGCTCAGTCAAGTGAGGTTGGGAGGTATTGTGATCAGGGTTACAAATTGAAGTTCGGAAAACATCACACTATCACTCTTACAGTACTTACTTTAAAAGTTGCTCTACAACGTTCTATAAGATGTTAGAATATAAATCAATGCTGCATTATTATACAGTGTGTTCACGGATGGACTTAACTATATTTACAAAAACATTTATTTTAAATTAAAAAAGTAATTCTTCGGGTTTTCTTTCGCTTGTTAAATAAATTCGATTCACATTGAGAAATTAGGAAAAATAACTTTTTTTAATTTAAAATAAATAATTTTACAAGTATAATTGAGTCTATTCGTGGACATACTATATTGTTGTTTGTGTAATGTGATACAGAGAAGCTGCAATTGGGGTTATAGTGAAATCTCAATCGAGAAATAAAACAAAATATTCATATAAATATTAAAATATTTTTAAAATCAAGTACCAATATCACAAAAGTAGACACAATTACAATTACACATATAATAAGCTAAATAGTATAATGAGATTTCAATATTGTAGAGGTTCACTAAAAGATTAAATGGTGAACGATTGTACAACATTATACACTCACCGACTTAAAATTCGATCCATTCAAAATAATGATTTATTTAAAAATGCTCTAACTGTCAATTGCGGAGGCTGATTTATTTGAAGTTTTCAGCAACTTTTAGATAAAATACTGTAGTTTTAAAATATTATTCGGACAACTAAAAGTAATTTAGTACTCGCCGTATATACAGAAGGGAAAAAGAAAACAATTTTTTCCTCTACTTTTGACACACCCTGTAGGTTAATTCTGCTAGTAGATCTGCACACAATTAACTTTATAAAGAAGACTGATTTGTGTGCAACATTCTGTTTTTTTATTTACCCCGATATCTTAACTTGTTGGTGAAATGTGACGGTTTAAAGAAAATGCAACATTCTTAATTTTTTATTCAGTTTCTGCAGAGTAATATATAATTTTATAAACAAATCAAACAACAAATAAACTAATAATTATTACAAATTAATAACGGGTATTTCACCCACGAGCGCGAATAACTGCCTTAATGCGTCGTGGCATACCTTCTATTAGATGTCGAATCTCCATCTGGTCAATCTGATGATTTGTAAATTATATAAGTTAATTTTTTATTAAATTGTGTAATAAATTATTAATAAAACTAGCTTTCAAATGAAGTGTCACAATTCACAATATATAATACTTTTTATCTCGATAGAGGGCATTAAAATCAAAAGTAACACAATGAGTAGTCATATTATTTATAAAATTACCTTTCAAATGATGTGTTACTCGATCATATTTAATACTAGGCTACAGGGAGTTGGATTTATGGGTATCAATTCTACATGACAATTCGTCTTCTTTCTAATAAAAGGCGTTTTTGGTTTTTCTTAAATTATTTTCTGCAAATACTAATACAAATCGTATACCTTTTTTTTTAACCCCATTTGTTTTTAAAAATCATTTTTTTTTAGTTTCATTAACTTCCATCGACAATTTTCCAAACATCAGAATTAATCATTAATTACTTAAACCAACCCTGTTATCTAGATAGCATATTTAGAAGAAAATCATAATTAGCAAGAATTACTGAAAATAATTAAAATTGGCAACACCTATGCCACCCACACCCATTTAAAGTTCAAAGTTATAGAAATCTCATTTTAAAATTCTTTGATATTTTGCTGCGTTTCACATAATATGATCATATCAATTACCAATGCTGGATACGGTCCTGTTAAAACGTCACCTAGCTAATCGTGTTGCCTCGGCTCTTCAATTACCGAAGCCGATGACACTGATGACAGTAGTAGGTAGTAGCAGTTGTATTGTTTTTGAATTTGTAACAGCGTAACAGCTAACTCTGTTCAAATTAGGTAATTTATTTATGTTTAAAATCACAGAATAAACTCTATTCCTGTTAAAACCGTCGCTCAGCTCGAGACTATGATTTTTAAGTGTGTCGTGCCCGTGATTTCAGTGTTTTTGTGTTAAAAAACATTACCGGGATTTCGGAATCGCTAAAGCTTAGCAAAGTTCATCGGTGTATTCTGCAGTAAGTACAATTAATTGATCGTTTCGTATTGTGTGCTATTTATTCATGTATAATAATACTCAATTTCAGTATTTAATAAAAAGCATAGCTTGATTATTTTAAAATCGCCATATTGATTCAACATTTAACAGATCAATTGCATCGATATCGATCGTGCTTCGTCTACGCGAGTTCGTGTCCGTTTCGCGTGGTACGGTTTCCCCGTTACGCTTCTAGCGCGTAGCTTGGTGCGAGCTGTCGGGATTATGCTTTCGCGCTGTTGTCAGACTGTTTCAAATTTCTGATTTCTCGCGAGATTTAACTTTTTTGGTTGACAAGTTTTAAATTTCATAAAAACATTATTTTTCGCTATTTTCTTGTCAATTTTCGCATAGTATCGAAAGCGTGGAACAAATAGTAGCAGCAGGTGAGCCCAGGCCAACGTCGACAATTGAAGTAAGTTCTTAAAATATAATAGTAGATTTTTAGGCAAATAATCACTTGAAGTAATAAATATCAAATATTTTACCATATCGGGGTTGTCAAAAAATAGGAATTAGGACAGACAGTCATTTTTAAAAATATATATGAAATCAGTCACTTATCTAAAAAAAAATTCATATGTAATAGATTTTATTATCTTTTAATCTGAAAACTTTCTTGTACAATAAATTTTGTAGTCTAAATCAATCTTTAAGAATAAACAAACGTACTATACGCTTTCAAAGTAATTTGTAATGGATAGATCAATCTATAAATTTGTTAAAACTTACCTTTAAATAGTCTATAACCTTGTTTCAAGAAGGATGTAATGGAGACTCTTAAGCATGCTAAAAACAATAGATCTCTTGCTAGCTGGGAAGTTGTATAACTTTAATGTATAATCAATTATACAACTTAATAAAAAGAAAATATTTCTTGATGCTTACTAATATTATAACAGTTGTACAACAAGGTTTACAACATTAATAAGAGTACATTTTGATTAGTGGGCCTTACATCTCAAGTAGATTGACCAATTCGTATTCAGTCGACTAATCACTAAGCCTACAGCGTCTTTTTCTAAATTTGTTTTTGTGCAATATGGATATCGTATTCACTCTTGTTGCACAAACTACTGTTTCACCCTATTCATCGAATATGTATTTTAATTCCAAATATCCCCAAGCAATTATAATTATCCTATTTCCAATAATTTCAGTATTAACACCAGCTTTCTAAGTTTTATGTGATCAAAGGGATACCCTTACTCCACTAATAGCTCAATTATAGAAATAACACGAAGGTTTAGAGACTTGGGAATATTTACCCGCTAATCCGCAGATATTGTTACAGATACATGTACAACGACCAACATAGTGTTCATTAAGTTTACGCTTTTGTCATAACACTAAAACCTTAATGGTGGCGTTATCGGTAACATTCTGAAATTACTACTTGCGTAATGGTTGCAATAATTTCAATAAATGTGTCCATATTCAAGAACAGATGGATACCCAAAAAATAATAAATATTCGCAATTATAAGGATTTAAGTTATCTTTATTCGGGTGATGATGGCCATATCGCACGTAGACGAAATTTAGACACGACGCGGTAGACGAAGTGCTCAATTGTCTAAACGGGATGTGGATAGTCCACTTGAGTTG